TACTCACACCGTGAGGATCACAGTATGAGGATCGTGTGATGTCACTGTGATCATCGCATGATCTCACGTGTTGACTGGGACATTTTTTGTTGTCCGAATCAGACTACAACATCCAGTTTATAACATTTCTACTTTCTGACAGACTGAGATAAAGAGAAATTGGGGCTAGGAAATAGAAGAGTTTGGAATGAAAAGAAGCTAGCGCAAGCAAAGATAAAAGCATAGGACAAAATAAGAGACATTGAGAGAAAAATCATCCTTCTCCATTTAAATAGTTCTTCTGCTTTCTCTCTCCATTTTATCAAGCTTTAATCCATGGCATTCACATGGCTCCATATCTTAAACCCCATGGAGCCATTTACCATGGCTAACAATATCACAAACTTCTCAATGGACCACTTAACAAGTGCTGCCCAAGTGCTCTATCTGAGCATATGACAAGCACATGATGAAATAAAAGAAACTCTAAGAGTAGAGAGTGTCCTTAGACCCGGTCCCGTGGGTAGGTTGTGTCTTGTCTGTTTGTGCTACCCTTTCTTGGTTCCTATAGACCTTTGATTAACACATACACTTACAATTGGAGGAAATAAATGGAAAAAAGCAGAAGGATAGATGTATCCGGGAGTTTTTATTTTATTTTATTTTAGCACTTAGATTTTATTAGATGTTATATATAGGGCTGGATTCGGGGTTTGACGCATCCTTTACATGACCCCTATACTGTTGGCCTTGTAAAATACGAGATTTGATCATTGGCGAGTCACTATAGTGAATGGAATTGCTGTCGGAAATGTTGGACAGTTTGGCCCAATGTGTCTCAACTTTGTCTACAAATTTAAGTATGTAGGTAAGCAGCTAAATACAGTATCTAATAGTTACTGTTGTTGTTATTGTAGCTAAGTTACTTTATTTCAAGATATTTAACATTAGCTACATTGATTATATTTTATGATGCCGATGTAAAGACCTTCGCTAATTCACGTCATAGGGAACAAGGGAGTAAAATGAGACAGCCAGTGAAAGGGCATAAGAGAAAGGTGGGAAAGAGAAATTAAAAAGTATAAAACTTTTCTTCAATGCAAAAAGAAGTACAAGGTCTTCCTGGCCTTGGGGGGG